AAAGTTCACTGACATCATACACCTGGTGACACGAAGAGCGCTTTCTCCTAATAATAAGTTTATCCTTGATTTATAGATTTAATTAAAAAATACTAATAATAATATGTTGTTTTTTAATAACATTAAAACACAACATATTATTATTAGTATATTCCTGACCAGCATGAATTTTAGTTTAAGCTACAGAGTATATAAATTAAAGAGTGGTTGGGAGAAGTGACTGAATGAAACAGTACCTAAACAGGCTTTATTTCTTACCTGATGACAGAAAATTAAAAATTCTTCTTCTTAATTTATTTTACCAAGATCATCTGTAAAAACATGAAGTAAAAATTCCTTGTTGTGACAGGTGGGTGTCAACCAGGAAGTTGTTCGCGAAGGCATCATGATTCAGTTTAAGTTAAGTTGTTGTAGTTTATATATTCCACAAAACACTGATAGAAACATGAGTGTGATGTTCTACTGCAACAAAACCAGTAAATATGTGTTAATGTGATGTTTCTAGTATTGGGAAAAAACGAAATTGCTTTATCAGTGAACAAAAATATAAAAGACGCATATATTCTGCATATGCTCTTCATGCAGATACAATCCTTAGAGGTCACGGCAGCAGATCATCATCCCCTCCATCTAACCTTGTCCCAGCATCCTCCTCTGTCACACCACCCCTCCGAGTGTCCTCCTTGGATTCCAGCGAGAGTAGATGTGGAGTCTTCCTATGCTTCTGTTAGCGATGCTCCATCTGAATGGATGATAACAACATTCGGAACAAACTAGCAGGTGGAGATGGCCCCCTATTGGCCCATAAATATGGGGCTGATTTCTGCTAATAACGCCCATTTTATGGACTGATAACATCTGAAGCGGGTGTCATTACACCCATGAACTGCATGGCAAACTGTGGTCTTCGTCTTTTCCTCCTGCCTGGCAGCGCCATCTCCAACATCCTTTGTCCAATTTTTTCACTAATCCTTGAACATGTCTGAACTATCCCAGCCTTGCCTCTATTTCTACGACTGTCCCTGTGATAGACTCATTTCTAATCCTGTCCATGATGGTCACACCAGTGACAATATTAACCGTGTCAGCTCTGCAAGCTCACTCCACCTACATTTTGTTTCCTGTCTACACCAGAGTGGAACAGGCCTTACTTCACTTGTATGCAGAAAATATTCCTGAATCAGCTGAATTTTTCAAGCAAGACATTGCTGACCTTAACCACAGCCATGTTATCATAACCCATGCTTCTACAGTTCAGACTGGACCTCTGCACGGCCCTTTT